ATTATAATTATTATTTAATACCAGAAATATTTTATTAATCATTCATAATTTAATTTGGTATGTAATTTTTCACTCAACTTCGTTGAGTTACTTATTGCTCCAACCATAATATTTGTATACCTAATGTTCTCACAACAGGTAACTGCTAACAGTTTTTAGCTCCCCTTCAGACTACTTCCCTTCTGTAACGTATATTCCTACACACCAAATTAAATTATGATTAATAAAATATTTCTGGTGTTAAATAATAATTATAATATTATTTAAATCGTAGACGTTTTTTTTACTTTATTTTTTATATGATAGTAGTGAAAAGTAGACAAAATTTAAAAAAACCAAAATTGTTAATTAAAATAATTTTATTTAATTATAATAATATAATGAATAAATATTCGCTAGAATAAATAAAATAAATAAAAAAAAAAAGTATAATAGGCAGGGATCGAACCCAGGTCGACAGCGTGATAGCCTAGGGCCTAAGTGTCCGAGCTACGCCGCCATCTCGACAACCGATCCAACAGGACCGGAATATAAGGGACGCCATAAACTTCAAATCGATTTTTCTCGAAAACGGCTAAGCGTTGCGCCCTATCCTTTTACTAAAGTACTCTTCTGATAGAGTACTATACCATATAAAAATTTCTTTGAAATCGGTGACCTGAAGTCCGCGTCCTCCCCTTGTAAGAGTTGGTTAATAAAAATATACATTTTTAATTTCTTTTCCTCCTTGGCTTAAAATTTATACCTTGCAGATTATATTAATGTATATACTTAGAATCTTGGAAAAGAATATATAATTCTGTATAACCAAAAAAAAGATTACTGTGCCCAAAAAATATAGTATTTTTAATAAAACAAACGACTCTGGGATCCTTTTAATGTTAATTCAGTTCATGAATTATCCTTTATAAATAATTCTCAAATTAAAGTGATTCCGAACGAATCATATTTTCTGCTTTATTTCATTTTGACATGTCTTTTTGCTTAATTTTTTTTACTATTCTTATTTTTCATTTATTTTGTTACAGTACGTTCACAGCATATGGCATATTGTCATGGCAATATCATTAATATTTTTGCTGCCATTAACAAGATCGAAACAAACATCACTGAGAAGTACTTCATGCAATGTTGATAGTGCATCATTTGCATAGACTTGGAAAGAATCACATGAAATTACTATGTTTACGATAATTGATCAGGAAAACTTCTACTCCTAGTTAAATATTGTATTATAAATAAATACGTATATAACGTCTCCGACGTACTTATATTCAAAACTTCTTTATATTATTCAAAAAATATTGCCCATTTGGATTTACTTTAATAAATGAGCGAGAGTGGGAGAGGAAAGAAGAAGAAAAGAGGAGGGAAAAGAGAGAGAGGAAAAAAAAGAGAAAAAAAGAGAAGAGGAGTAGAGAGAGGGAAAGGGTAATAACACTTTAAATGTTTCATGCTCATTTTAGTGTTTTTGAAATTGTAAAATACAAATCTGTAGTTAAAATTACAACATTCAAAAAGAGAATTATTAACTAGTTAATTTTACATATATATACCAAACTACATGAAATATGATGTTTATAAACTCTGCACCGAAGCGGTGTAGTACACCGCGACGCCGCTACGCGCCGCAGGCCATCAGCCAAGCTCTACGCTGCGACGTGAACTAGCCTCGGAATCACGCCAGATCCGAGGGAGCACGCCCAATGGAAATCGGTAGCCGCGGTACTCCACGATTTTCGGGAGTTAGATAACCTACGCGGCGTCGGCAATAAATGCACGACTCGGTAACTCGCGGTATCGGAAATAGATGCTTGATTCGGTAACTCGCGGTACTCCGCAAAATTCGGGAGCAAGGTAACTCACGCGATATCGGTAACCGGAAATGGGCGCCAGGTGCGAGTAATTGCACCGCGTCGGTGGCTATCGGTAACTTCAACAGTTCTCTAAAACGCTCGGCCGCTCCCCGCTCAGTATATGGCAGAGGGGCGCAGTTCTTTTATTTGACGTTAGATATCTGGAGTGAGAGGTGAACACAAGGACAACTCAATAAGTAAGATTTAACAATAATGTATTTCAACGATTTGGTAAAGATGAGTAGATCGTTCGGCCTGAGCCGATACGGCGGAAATAGTTTAATACGGCGGTAGTAAGGCAATTCGCCCAATGAATCGGTAAAAAGAACAAATTTCGATAACTACATGAAATTTCGGAAACGCGATCACGATAATTCGCAGCTGATCCGACGATATTCAGCAAAACAAATGACTTGTATTACGACCATCCGACACGGCCGGTGAAGGCCAAATAAATACGCTTTGAACGACGGTAGCCTAACGGCCAGAAATGAGATGTCGCGGAACGGCTATTTTCGCGGGCTTTCACGTTTCTCGCCGAGACGTTAACTTGGCGGTAACAGCGGTCTCGCGGAGAACGTTCCCGAGCAAAATCCGTCCGCGGACATTCACCCACGGTACTTCCGGTACGGTGATAACGCGACAAAACGGTAACAAAACGGTATCGTAAGAAAGACGGTAGCAAATAATCAGTATCTACAAAAAGAAACGGTAACGGAAAGACGGTACGGTAACGAAACGAAACGGCAAACGAAACGGCAACGAGAAAGAAACTGTCGGTGCTTAATTCACGCAAGACGAAGAGACTTTTACGCGATATCCGGAGCCAGCTGGACATGCGGTAATTGAGCGTCAATACGCGCTCACGGTATCAAAATCTCGGTTAGTCGTGTGAGAGACACTAAATACAAAACAGATTCACGCTACCAGCCATAACCGGACGGAACTCTACGGCTACCCGAGAGGCGGCTTACATCGAGTCGGCGTCTTCGGCGTCGTTGGGCTGAGTCCTGGCGCTGGTCCTCACTCACTTGCGGCACACCGAACAGTGACTCCTCTCGGCTCTGCACGTAGGTCCTTCCAAATCCGCATCGCCTTCTTGCGCATCCTGCCGATTTTCCAAAAAGGGGGGCCCCTGAGAACCGCCCACAGTTCATCCAGCCCCCCCCCCCCCCCGCTTTCTGTGGTTTCTTCAAATTATCCGGTCGGTATTGGGTTGATGATTCGATATTCCCGGAAGAGACTGGTTAAGCTGGCCGAGCCATACTCCGGTCCTTCCGGGTGCAGCATCTTCGGGGCCCTCGAAGCCGTCTGCAGCCGGGCGAGGTCCGTTGCTGCGTTTCCTTGAGTTTCTCTGAGTTTGTGGCTAAAACCAAAGCGGAGTTAGTCGATAGGGTTTGAATGGCGGAGGCGACGGAATCGCGGTACCTGACCTTTTGCTGTGGGGTCACTAACGCGTGACACCCGTCGATGATCCTCCGGCGTCCGGTCTCCATGGCGATGCTGAATCTTCGCCCTAAGGCACAAAATACGCAACGCCGCCCGCACGGGGTCTCGCCTTACAACTTAAACGATAATAACAAGATAAAACGGGAACGACATATAAAACAACGCGTAAAGGTTGTGAAGTCTCGCGGGTTGCTCTCTCCACGCGAGGAGCAACACCAGGACTCTTTGCTCCTTCGGCCGGGCTATCGCCCTTGTAACGGCGCTCGAAAAGCGTCACGTCACAACGCTTACGGCTACACCGCCAGATAATGCAGGCAGTGTAAAACTATCTCGCAAAGAATCGATCGACTCACTATAAAAGAGCGTCGATTCAATTCTTTCCTCACTCACTCGCTGCAAGGCGAGCTTTACACAAAGGCTCTTGACTTGAGTAGTAGCTCTGTTTCGAAAGAGCGTAACCAGCGATTAGTTCGCTACAAGTTTTCTTAGCTTTCTCACAGTGCCTAGGAAGGCACGAAAGCGAAGGAACTAATCCCAGCTCCGGCCGCACACTTCACCGAGGAATATTCCTCTGCGGCCCGCTGACATACCAGCATTGCCGTTGCCGCTGCAGGCTCCACAGTGGAAACTCATTCCCTTGGAGTTCTGCATCCGGTTGACTCGGCCTCCACGGGACACTCTCGCACCAGGGGACATCCGAGTACGGAGACTTCTCTCTCCTCGGTTCGCAGAACGCACTGCGCCACCGAGAACTGAGACCGCCACAGTGCAAGGAGACACGCATCGGAGACACGCTCCATTGCCACTCAAACCTCGCCGCCTAGGGCTTGCTCGGAGAGCAGTTGCCATACAGAGGATCACTTTCCAAACGGAGTACCTCCGATGCTTGGGAAAGGGTTGCAACGTGCACCCTCGTTTGAGCCGTCCTTTTTAGGACCTGTGCTCTACACCAAGTCGCGGCCGGTAATCACCTACCAGTCCCACCAATTTTTATTCTAACTCACGACCTTACATTTTGCCGTGAGCACGCCATTGGCGCACTTAAATCACAAATAAAACTGTACATAGACTCTGACGAAGAAATAAATATATTTCTCAGAACAAGCTCTTATCTTTTTTCGCCAGCACAAACACACACTATAGACGTTTTTAATTTTTATCATGATAGACTAAAATTTACAGTTGAAATTGGATTAAATAATCGCATTAACTTCCTTGACGTAACCATGATCTTGGAAAACAACAGAATTATTTTTGACTGGTTTCAAAAACCTACTTCATCAGGAAGATATTTAAATTTTCATTCCCACCATCCTATTTCGCACAAGAAAGTGACCGTTATAAGTTTGACCGATAGGATTTTTTTACTCTTCCACCCAAAATTCCACAATAAAAATTTTATATCGGCAATTAATATCTTATTAAATAATTGTTATCCATTAAGTTTTATTTTCTCGATTATACAAAAAAGGCTAAAGTTTTTAATTCATAACAAAATAAGTGACAATAATTTAACAGAAACCAAATTTAATAATGATTCTGACAATAATGATTGTAAGACTTTTCTAACTATTCCTTACATTTCATTGATATACAGAGATTTTAACTCCATTGCTAGAAGCTTCAACTTTAAATTAGCCTGCTCAATCCCGAACAATTTAACACACTTTATAAAAACAGGCAACATTAATTTAAACAAACTTTCCCATTGTCAAGTAGTGTATATGATTCCGTGTCGAGATTGCAATAAGACTTATGTGGGACAGACCAAAAGACAGCTTAATATCAGAATTAAAGAACATAAGAACAACATTAATAAAAAGAGCTATTCCCCTTTGGTTATTTCTAAACATAGAATTGATTCCTCCCATGATTTCGACTGGGATAATGTAAAGATTTTGGACGGGGAACTTTCTTATGGCAAAAGAATGATCTCTGAAATGGTTTTTATTATATCAAAAGACAAAATGCAGGTCTTAACAATCAAAATGACACAGAACATTTACCGGATGCTTATGTCCCCATTATTAATTTATTTCTTCCTCTATAAATGTATTGCTTTCCCTTTCCTTTACTAATTCCTTTATCCCCTCCATTTCACCATACCTTTCCTTCCCCCTCCCCCTCACTTTTCTATCATCACGCGGAATTTCTTTAGTTAATTCTGATCATTAAGATCTCAACTATTACACTGTTTAAGTCTAACATCTTTTTACTCTTCCACCTCGCTCCTTCTGCGTGGATGAGCTTACGTTCTACATGTTTTCATTACAAGTATGTATAAATCATTTCAATCTCCGGTCAGCTTACTTTTTATAACATTAATTTTTATTGGATTTTATTATATTGATTACAGTCCTAACGTCTTTATGTACTGAACAACACTTTTGTTAAAATGGATTGTGAAAATTTCTTCTACATTATATTGTCTTTTTAATCAACATGTTACGATTTTTTCGTTTCTTATCATACACTGAAGAAGGCCTGATGTAAGGCAGTTTGTAAATGTAAATGTATATTATGTATAATAATTTTAAACGAATATGCTGTAACCTTCGCACGAATAACCTACATTGTGGCTCTTTACGCTCGAAAAATTAAACTCCATCTCCGTCAATGTCTTTACCACCAAAGGCCGTTCGATCGTCCCTCTGCGCCTCGCCGACAACAAGATGGAGAAGCACGTCAACTTGCTGTACGTGCCTAGAAACAACAAGGCACACTTTGTGTGCATCAAGGGTCTTTCTCGGCTGGTGGGCACACAATTGAGCAAGCACAAACAGAAAAAGTACATTTGCGATCGGTAAGTAAAAAAACGCATGTATAGAATAAATCAATATTTTTATTCATAGTTTTAATCATACAAATCATTACAGGTGTCTACACTATTTTTATACAAGGGAGAAATTGTCGGTCCACAGCGTCGACTGCGGGAAGATGAACGAATGCGCAGTCATTCTTCCCAACGAAGACAACAAATGGCTGACATTCCGCAACTACAACCGGAAGGAGCGGCTCCCGTTTGTGGTGTATGCCGATTTAGAATGCACGCTGGAGAAGGAAGAGAGACAAAACCGTACCACATATGCCTACCAACATCACAAGGCGTTTAGCGTAGGATACTATGTAAGTTGCGCTTACGATAACTCGTTATTTAGTTTTAAGTCTTATCGCGGTGAGGATTGCATAGCGTGGTTTGTTAATGAACTTCACGATTTGGCACGCTGCGTGAAAGCGATCCTTACCGCTGTTCCCATGGTGGATCTTACACGGAAGGAATCGGAGAAATTCCGTAGCGCCGTAAATTGTCACGTGTGCGAGAAACCGTTTACACCGGAGGATATGCGGGTGCGTGATCATTGTCATCTCACCGGGCGCTACCGAGGTCCCGCGCACTCGTCGTGTAATTTAAATTACAAAGATTCCCACATTATCCCAGTAATTTTTCACAATTTATCCGGGTACGACGCGCATTTCATCATCAAAGACGTTGTCAATGCCTGAAGGCAACGTCGAATTGTTACCGTTAACAAAAGAACGATATCAAGAGACACGGTAGTGTCTCGCGCCAAGTTCACGCGCAGCGCAAGACCGACCGTGTATCTTTATGCGAGCACATGAGCTGATAGGAGTCGAGATTTTCATATCTCAATAATGCGTGGACCGATCGAATTTATAATAGGATCAATCGATAGAGCACATGCGATTTACATAATAAAAGTATCTTTACTTTTTTTGTACATGCTTTCTAAAAAAATATATTAATTGCCAAAGTTTGCCAAAGTCGAAATATGCCGAAATCTATGTAAGCCTTGGTCGTCGTCGTCGTCGTCGTCGTCGTCTGTTCGTCATCCTTCTCTAATATATAAGTTTTTCCTTTGTCAACTAGAAGCATCAAAATGCGACATGGTTGTCCTTTTCTACATCCCGTGAAATGTCGATTCCCGCATAAGAGCATCTTTTTTCTTTCCTTTCTTTTTCTAAAAGATGTCTGTCCTTTTCCAACATGGCGGCGCTCAGACCTGTTAGCTCGCAGCTTTGATGATACTAATCACATTAATATAATTAATATCGGTCGTAAAATGTATATGTAACGTGTTGTGGAGACGAATAGAGATAGTGTATATCAAAATAATAGTATTCTTTATAAAAAAAATTTTTCTCGTCTTGAAGTGCAGAAGTGTAGCAACACACATGCTGACAACACTCTTAAAAGGAACGTTCACAAGTGTCCCCTCCCGATTTGATTCTCCTTGAAATATGTTGTAAAACATACAATTTGAGAAGACACGTATTTTTTTATAGCGGCCCTAACTCAAATTTAAAGGGTGAAACACCCTTTTGAAAAAAACAAGTTTTTTCTTTGTGTGTAACTATCGCCAAAACCGTAGGAGATATAAAAAAATGTTTCAAGTAAAAGTTGTATGGCTTGTAATGGGCTTTATAACTGTGTAGTTGGATTTTCAAAAAATGTAATTTTTTTTTATTTACTCTTACCCCTTGGTATTATTTTTTCGAATTTCAAAATTTTTGTAATGACAAAAGTTGTAGCATTTTTTACGCTGAATTCAACCATATATGATTTTATTATGTTCCGAAATCGCATCTTTCAAAAATAAGTCATCAGTATCATATTATATGCGTCGCGCTGCATGACGCATTGTTTATACCGCACTTGTGTTGCGCAAGTCGTTAAATAAATATAAAAATGACATGTTATTATATATTTGAGGAAGAAAAGTTAACTAAAATTGTTGCTAAAGCATCCCTTCCACATTACACTCTTATAGATAATCGCTGCATTTCGTATGCGACGCGTTGTCATATACAAGTTAGCTATCAGCGCATATTACACTTTGAAGTTTTGCTTGCAGTGACCACGGGAAAATAATTTATGAAACGAAAACAGTGAATGAATCAATCTATTCAACATATATCCACCCTGACTCTACTCTCTTGGCCCGACTTGACTGACAATGAATAAAATTCTGTACATACTCTTTTTCAATAATTTTAATATACTGCGATATATTCTACATACTATTACATTCTATTAAATTATTACGATTTTTTTAAACTATGGTATATAAAATCTTGAAATATAAAATGTATATTATAAGTATAATTATAATAT